CAGATTTCGTTCTGCTGTGTGTCTCTGCTGGTGGATCTGAAGCTGCCTGTTCCAGAGGGGAGAATGGGCTTTATATTCTGAAACATTTGGGGGCAGATTGTAAAGGCTGCATCTTGGGGACTAACAGCAATGCAATAGGTTGCCTCACAACAGGTTCCCCTGGTCTTGTTTATGAAACGTGGGAAGAAGGATGCATGATGTGGGCTCTATTTTCTGTAATAAGATACTAGCCACAGTTTGTATGCATGCACAAGCCTGCTTTGAGAATCTCCTAAGTGGTGTTTTTTTGTTTTTTGTTTTTTGCCTATGCCACCACATCCGGCTAATTTTCAAAATTATGGTTATTATTATTTTTTGCAGAGACAAAGTCTCATTGTGTTGTCCAGGCTGGTTTTGAATTCCTGGCCTCAAGCGATCATCCCACCTCGGCCTCCCAAAGCACTGGGGATTACAGGGATAAGTCACTGTGCCAGGCCAGGAACTCTTAAATTTTGAACATTACTTTGTTTATAATAAACAGCTTTTATTTGAATTCTACAAATGTGGCAGCTTTTTATAAATTTTCTTTCTCCTTTTAAAAAATTCATTGCATCCAAGAATATCACTCTTTTTCCAGAAGTTTCAAAACAGTTGTGTGTGTGGTATTTCTCTTTTTCTCCCTCTGTTGTTTGTTCTAGTTTTACTATTTTCTTACTGGCTTGGCCTGAAACCTGAAAACCTACTCTTTACCAGAGTGACTCAGAAAAATCCACAATTTTGGAAAATACTTCTGACATGTCTCAGGTAAAATTGTGTGTGTGCATGCATGTGTATTTGCCTATGGTAAACTAGCTGGCTAGTTCTGCACCACACTAATGTGCCTGTGTGTTGCATTATGAATATTTTTATTTGATAAAGTACAAATGGTTAAGAAACCCAGTGGTAAGACTCTCATGTTATATAAAGCTGAAAACAAAGAAATAAGAAAGAACGAAGAATGAAAAAGAGACAAGCAAGGGTTGTCACATTCTTTCAGTGTAGACACCTTCCCCTTCTGCCCCTGCCTGGTGCCTGCCTTTCCCCTACCATGAAAATCACACATCTTGGAGAACCACTTCCTTGAGCTCAACATCAGTGTTTTCCTAGAACCAAGAGATTGCAGAATTTGACAGATAGGTAGGATTTCAGAGACCATGTAGTTCAAGCTTTCTTCTTCTTGTTCTTCTTCTTTTTTTTTTTTTTGAGACAGAGTTTTGTGCTTGTCACCCAGGCTGCAGTGCAATGGCACAATTTCAGCTCACTGCATCCTCTGCCTCCCAAGTTCAAGTGGTTCTCCTGCTTCAGCCTCCTGAGTAGCTGGGATTATAGGCATGTGCCACCACACCTGGCTAATTTTGTATTTTTATTAGAGACAGGGTTTTACCATGTTGGTCAGGCTGGTCGCGAACTCCTGACCTCAAATGATCTACGCGCCTTAGCCTCCCAAAGTGCTGGGATTACAGGCATGAGCCACCATGCTGGCCCAAGCCTCCATTTTATAGAAGAGAAAACTGAGGTTCAGAGTGAGCACCATCCAAATTCACTCAGCATGTGGCAGGTGGAGTGGGTCTTATGAAATAGGTCAGCTCTGGTGGTTCTTAACTTTTCAGTCTGGGGCCAGGCACATTAATGCCACCCATAGGTTCTGTTCAAGTCAACAGATAAGTGAAGCAGCAGTTTCTGTGGGCTGGAGTCTGTAGCAGGGGCCAGGAGTAGGCGATGCAGTGGGCACAGACTGTCTTCATAGTCCCTTTGAACTATTCTTGGGGTGGGGGTTGAATAACCACAAAGAAAGGGCTCTGCCATCCCCAGTTTTACCCTATGTCCTTGCCAGAAGCAGTTACTCTCTGACAAACAAATGTCTCCTTGTGCCTCAAAGCTGACATATCTATAGCAAGGCTTGTGTGTGCTGATGTTAACATCCCAAGAATATTCTGGAAGCTGAACCTGAAGAGCTTAGCAGCTGAAGTCAAAAGCACTTTTCATCCCCCAGATCACTAGTAAAATGAAGCAGTGCTTAGCATTTTAATACGAGGCAGTATCAAGATTTCAGTTCAACTAGTCTTCCCTATTTTATCACATGAAATAAAATGTATTCTACTGCTGGCATGTATTGGAAATTTGTGCAATTGGAGAGACCTAAAGTCTTCAATTTTCCATGCCTGAGCTATTACTTTTAAAAATAATATGAAGTGTTGGCTATGAATATGGAAGAAAGCATTTAAACACTCATACTCCAGCATAATAAACAGATCTTCAGCATTGGCACTTATTTGGTACTTACTATAATCTTTATTTTAGGTAGTTTTTTTATTTTAAGTGGCAGGAGATGCCCAGTTTTCTTTAAAGCTGTAATCAGAAACAAAGGAAACATTGTTAGATATTCCTGCGTCCTGGTTAAAACACTTCCCTCCTTAGAAAACGCTAATCTCAGAAGTCTTGGTTTCACACATCAGAAAGTGCAGCTGCAAGGAAACCACCGAATTTGTGGCTTCAGTTGTGATTGACTCGTTCTCCTGATGGGTGCACAAGAGCATTTCCTTCAGCATGACGGCACACGCAGAGGAGTCCATAAATCCATCATTGGAAAGGGCCATTCCCAGTTGCCTACTTTTTTCTTTTGAGTCATGTAGACACTTGCCTCAAACTTATTTGTTATTTCAAGAACACGGCTCGAAACTCCTAATAGTGTCAATTAACTCAGAATCATTGGTCACCTCGGGTGGACACCTCCCTGAAAACCCTCTTCCACATCAGCTCAGGTGCTGCTTGCACCTTGCTTCAGAAATCATGAATAAAGCATGCCTTTGAGCTTCCAGGAAGAAGCCTGTGGTTTCGGTAAATTGCTTTCTAGTCTATCAGAACTCTGATTTTGCTGCTTCTGATCAAGTCTGGTGACATAAAACATTTTCTCCATTAAGAAAAAGAGAAAAACACTCTAGTGCTGCCCAATATTTCCAACTTCTGCCCATATGTTTGCTTTTCATTCATTCATTCATTCACTCAACTCAGCCATGATGCATATTTATGGACCTCATCCTGAAGCTGCTTCCACATGACACCCATACAGCCTTCTGCCTCAGTGGCACTGGTTAGGGCTGAGGGTGTGTAGTGAGCCTCAGGCCTTGGAAAAACCACCTCCTTCTTTACCCACCCTCCTTCCCTGGCCTTTCTACTGGTCCCTGTAAAGCCACACCTTAAGTGGGGGTCACAGAACAGAGCCTTGCCGTATTGTATGCACAAGGCAGTGCAAAGCACATGGAATTTCAAGTCGGATAGACCTGAGTTTGAATACTGACTTTTTTCTGGCAAGCTGTATGACCGTAGGCTCGTTACTCACTGTCTCTGAGCCTCAGATTCCTCTGTGTAAAGTGGGATAACTTTACTTCCTTTATAAAGTCGTGATGAGGGATGACATCTTTAAAGCACCATGCTGAACATGTAGAGGAGCCACCATTCTGATGCCTGCCCCTCTTAATCAGCATTGCTGTTCCTCGGGAATTTCCAAATGGGACCTTCCTCCTGGCTTCAATAGGGGACAAGCTTCTCCTTGGCTTTGACATCAGAAGGGGTGCAGTTATGTGTACAGAGGAAACCATTTGCTTCATTCAAGAACTGTAAAACTAGTTAGGTTTCTGATGCAGGGCTTGCCAACTTCTCACACCGCAGGATCCTGAGATGCCAGGGTCCGCTGCCACCCTGTTGCTGTAGACAACTGGGCGCTCAATATTTTGTGCATACATGTGTTCTCTGTGCTTTTAAGCACCCTAATTCCACAATACAATGACCTTTTCTCTGTTATTTCTACAGTAGCTCCTTTATTATTTCCAGAGAGTCATTTGCTGAGTATTTATGCCCTAACATTGTCTTTCCTTGGTCTTTCCCATTCATATCCTTTTTGGGTGCCTCTCTCTGTTCTTGTTTCAAGTGAACGCACCTTCCAGCACTCTGCATAGAACAATCACAAATGAACATACAAAAAGCTGCCCTCCTCTTCCACTTTCTCCTTGGAGTTTCTGCCCCTAGGATGTTTTCTCTCTTCCTCCTCCTCCTCATGCTCCACCCAAATCAGTTTGGATTTCCCAGTGGGCTTCTGCGCACTTAAAGCAATTTACATCTCTATTCCTCACTGAGCATGAAATTATGCCCCCCAGTCCTGAAAAGGTTCTGGTAGTGCCTTTTATTTTTAAAATATATCATATAATGCACAGTCCCATCTGGGCTGGAAGGTATTGGATGAGGAAGTCAGGATCCAATCGCTCTCTGTATTCACAATGGACCTCCCTCTTTCCAGAAAGATGCTGAGACAGTTCAACAGATATATGTAAGAGGATATAAGGACTAGGTGACAAAATGGAGAAGGGAGAACGCAACTATGGATAAAACCCAATTTTAATATTTTTTCTATACCTTGCATTTGTAGGTATTTCTAAATTTGTGTTGTTTTAATCAAATTATTATAACACTGTTTCATTTTATTGCTGCTTGATATTGATCTATGCATAGGCAATTTAATGTTACAAATAATTGACAACTCAAGAGTATATAATTGGGTAGTGCCCACACTGAGAAATTCTGCAAGATATTCTCATGCTTCTCTGTCTCCTCACCCGCCATGAAGAGAGTAGCAAGGACTACCAACATGGAACAGATGTTCCTTTGTAGTGTGTTCTGAGCCAACTGACTTCTTCGGTTTGGAAAACAGACAAAAAGGCACCAGATGAGATCCCAAACTCCCAGAATGACACTTGGAGGAGACCCTTTGTGATAGGCAGTCCCTAGAGTGAAGCCAAGGGCCAAGCTGGAGCAGAGTGCAAACGTCTCACTCAAACCTCCTCCACCCGCCCTTGCTGGGGGAACACAATGATGGGTGATGGCAGGAGGCACTGAGGTCCCCAAGTTTTTAGTTCTTAAATGCAATCCTGCAATTATTCCATCTATTTTAGGAGTAAAAGGGGATCAATAGCTGGGAACATCCAGAGATGTTGTTCCTCCGGCACAAAGCAGAGGGTCCAGGTAATTTCCATCCTTACCTATGCTTTTGTCAGATGCCCACCTGTCACTTTCCCAGGTTTTAAATTGAAATCAGACCAGTGTAAGACTCATAACGTAGTCTCTGGTGTCCTGGGCCAATGTGTAAGGGTATGTAGGTTGCCCACCTACAAAAATGCACCACATCTAAGGGGTCACTATTAATGATCTAGACATTTGTGTGTTTATTGCAACAAAGTTCTTGCAGATGGCACTAAAATGTCTTGAGAAAAGGGGTGCTAGTATGTCTTTGTGCAAGGAACCATATTGTTAAGCAATACCAGAAATACCCTGAGCTTTTAAAATTTTTCATTTTTTATTTTTTTGAACTCTGAGAAGCTAGCTTTTGTTTCTTTTTTGTTTGTTTGTTTCTTTCTTTCTTTTTTTAAGACAGAGTCATGCTCTCTTGCCCAGGCTGGAGTGCAATGGTGTAATCTAGGCCCACTGCAACCTCTACCTCCCAGGTTCAAGCGATTCTCCTGCCTTAGCTTTCTGAGTAGCTGAGATTACAGGCCTGCACCAGCATGCCTGGCTAATTTTGCATTTTTAGTATCGATGGGATTTCACCATGTTGGCCAGGCTGGTCTTGAACTCCTGACCTCAAGTGATCCACCCACCTCAGCCTCCCAAAGTGCTGGGATTATAGGCATGAGCCCCTACACCTGGTAAGAAGAAATGCTTCCCTGATCGGGAACTGAACCAGGGCTATAGAGGTGAGAGCGCCAAATCCTACCCACTCGACCACCCCGGGCATCATCCTCCCTCCCAGGCTTGTGCCTTTTGTTTCTTTAAAATTTAAAAAGAAAACACTTATCAACGAGGACAATAGGGAGAGAAGTAGGAAGAGAATCATTTCAATCTCTTCAGGCTCAGATGAAAGGGAGAGTAAAGTGTTGGGACAAATGAGGGCTGGGGACTGGCATGGCTGTAGTTCCTAGTCCCTCTTTTGAGGGTAAACCACACACATTGGATTGTTCTCTCACTGTGAAAGATACGGGGATGCTGGCCCCAAGCTCAGGAAGTTGAGCTTGATTCGATAATTAGGCCAGGAAGACGAGGTGGGATGGTCTGGCATCGCCGTTGCGAATGGGGTCTGCTGGACACCCAGATCTGTCTGCTGCCATTTTGTCTAAAGGTTTACCAAACCAAAACATCAGTGGGCTCAGAACACACTGCAAAGGAATGTTCTGTTCCAATCTTGGAGTCCTTGCTATTCTCTCTGTGGTGGGGGGTGGGGAGCAAGGGGACAGAGAAGCATGAGAATGTCTTGTAGAATTCCTGAGTGTGGGTGCTGCCCAATTACATACTCTTGAAGTGCACATTATGTGTAACATTAAACTCAGGATCTGAGTTACTCACCAGGGGCCTGGCTGGCATGGGGCAGGTGTGTTAAAGTGCAGCTGCTCTCTGGTGCTGCGGAGGTGGCAGCTGGCTCAGGCCCCTTCCTATCATTTGTCTCAACTGGAGACTTGAGTGTGTGCCAGCTACACAGTTTTGTCTGCTCAGCCTGATTTAAGGACCTTTTGTAGTTATTAGGAATCCTCACTGTTACTGTTCTGCCTTATATGAATTGGCAGCCAAGAGCTGGAGAGTGATACAGACTCCCTTGGCCCTGTCCCCTCCTCCCATTCCCCTGCCTTCCTTCCTTCTCCACACCACCCCCCCCCCCACCCATCTCCAATGCTCTGTCCAGGCTCTGGGCAATCAGGGTGGATGGGGACTGGAAACCTCAGGGTTCAGGACAGAAGTTTCCAGCTCGGAATCTCAGTATTTCTGGGTTTTGTGTGCACCTGGGACCTTGCTGGTGGGGTAAAACAGGAGGGTGTTTGCCCTTCCCAGCCTGAGTGGAGAGGACATCGGGCTTGTGTTCTTCTGTCCTGATCAGGAAAAGAGCTCTGAGGGCTGGCCCTGCACGGAGGAGGTGGCACTGGAGACCCATTGACCCACTGCTATACCTTCTGCATCTCACTCACTGCCCACCACCTTTTCTCTTCTTTGCGGGTGGCTCCTGCACGTGCACCAGCTCCTGCAAGTGCAAAGAGTGCAAATACACCTCCTGCAAGAAGAGTGAGTGTGGGGCCATCTCCAGGAATCTGGGGCTGTGGCTAAGGTCGGGAGGAAACCCTAGGCTGGCCCTGAGTACATTCTTCTGGGGAACTGGGCTTTCTTTGCCCCTGTTGGCTGTGTCATTTTCTCTCAGAGGGCTTTGTGCCCTCTGGGTCTGGGGTCTGAGCTGGAGCCAAGCTTGCTATTAGGGAGGTGCCTGGTCAAGTCAGCTCACCTCTCATTCTTCCCTTTCACCTCAGGCTGCTGTTCCTGTTGCCCCATGGGCTGTGCCAAGTGTGCCCAGGGCTGCATCTGCAAAGGGGAGTCTGAGAAGTGCATCTGCTGTGCCTGATGTGGGGACAGCTCTGCTCCCAGATGTAAATAGACCAACCTGCACAAACCTGGATTTAAAAAAAAATATAACCCTAAGCTGTTTGCTGCATTTCTTTTTCTCTTAAATATGTGAGTGACAATAAAACGACTTGAATCTTATCTGGCCTTTTCTGTGTGTCTTGGAATAAATGGACTGGGGTGGGAGTTGAGCCGGGAGTTTAGAGACCAGGCTCTGGGTAGAAATGTGAGCCACTAACAATGTGAACACCTTCAGGAAGCCAGGTGACCTCATGAGTCTGCACTGCTGTAAAATGGCATCGCGCTGTGCCAATCAAATGGGTGGGGTGTTACAGATGATCGCTTCCACTCTCAATTGTCAAACGTGACCAATTTTTTAGATTCAACCAGAAAAAATTCAGTGAATAAATGAAGAAACAACAGGAAAAACAAAAGATGTACAAACTTTGACGATATGATGATGTGGAAGGCAACCTCAGGGAAACTGGGAAAGGCAGCCAGGACCTCGGGGACCTGGCGTACCTCCAGGCGCACAGCCCTTTCTGCGAGAGCGAGCAGGCGCCAAAGGCGCGGTCCCACGGTGTGCACAGAGCCTAGCTCAGGCAGTGGTGCGCCTGGCCCCTCTGCCGTGCACAGCCCAGCCCAGCCCAGGACCTCTTTCCTTGAAGTAAGCACTTGTCATGCTTCTTAATTAAATGCAGAGTCACCACATCAGGGCAAAGATCTCTCCCTTGGTGACATCCCAAGCTTTGGACGTCCTTGGTCTTGGTGGTCCAGCTAGGCTGTGGGAAGCCCAAAAGAAGTTAAAAAGCAAAAGAGGACTTAAACAAATGCACCCATCACCCTCTCAGGAGTGGAGGATGGAAGGGAGGGAGGCAGGGCCCTGTGTCTGGCCTGTTGCCGTGAAGAGGAGAAACGAGGCCAAAGGACCTGGATGACTATGAAGGTGGGTCGAAGGTCACATGGGAGGCTGGTCCTCTGCACACAACTCCCTTGTTGTGCTTCCCGCCTCGGTCCTATCTAGGAACGTGAGCACTAGGCTGGGGTTGCACACGGATTCCCACGGAGGCGAAGTTAGGTCACTGGTGCAAGGGTGGGGATACGGCCACCACCTGAGGCTGGGTTCCCGGACCGCCCAGGACAGGAGTGGACTGCAATCTGCAGGAAATTCGGGAGGGCCAGGATTATAGTCAGGACACCGTGTAACGCCGGGAGCACAGCCCCTCCAAAGCCAGTGAGAGCCAAAGGGCCGCCCTCAGGGTGCATCCTGCGCCGAGGGAGGATCCTGCGCTCTGCTCGCCTGCAGCGCGCAGTCAGGCCCTGAATCCGGGGGCGGCGCTGACACTGTGCGGGGTGGCTGCCAGACCTGGGCCAGGGCGTCTGCGCCTGGCACCCTGCCCTGACTCTAAAGTCAGAGGCCTGATCCTGGGCTCTGTTCCGCCTCCCACCGGCCAGCTTGTTTTTTCCCCTATGTTTTAGGCACTCCAGCCTCATCTGACCTCCAAATGGACCCCAACTGCTCCTGCGCCGCTGGTAAGAGATGCTGGGTTTCGGGGCTTAGGGTCTTCATTTTCGTACTACAGAATAGAAGGTCCCTGGGGCAGGAGGCAGGTGCATTTTGAACTCTACCTAAAATGGACTCCTTTGCTTTGCACTTCTCGAGCTTTCTCCCTGCCAAGCACCTTCATCACTACTCAGAACACTGCCATCTTCTCACTGCCTCCCATTTCTGAGGTGAGAGGACAGGCTGAAAATTGGCCGGCTCTAGGTCACCCTCAAGGCCAGAGGTGTGCTGAACTAGGACCCAGTGCTTTGTCCAGCATTTGAGCTGCCTAAGGTGGATGGGAGGCACGACACTCACTGCTCACTGCCTTTTTCTTCCTTGCAGGTGGCTCCTGCACCTGTGGCAGCTCCTGCAAATGCAGAGTGCACAGGCACCTCCTGTAAGAGTGAGTGCAGGACCATCCCCAGGAATCTGGGAGCTGAGCAGGGTCAAAGGAGGGATCTCCACAGGCCGGAGCCAACCAATGATGAGCCTCCCACATTTGCTTCAGCAAATGACTTAGGATCACAGCTGGAAGAACACTAGAGATGATTAATTCCCAATCTTCATTCTTTCCATGGGGAAGCTGACACCAAGAGTGCACACCAGCATCCCAAGCACAGACCTGACACTTGAGAACTTTCCTCACTTAAGTGTATAATTCTAGGAGACTGTCCTTCCTTTTACTGCAAACAGCACGTCACTCCCTCTCCAGGCTTCTACCATGTCCTGGGCACAGGAGGGGTGGGCAGCTTTGTCATGGCAAGACTCTCACCCCAAAGATTCAGGAGTTGTCTCCTGACAAGCAATGCCACCCTGAACTAAGGGTCCTTGGGCTGGAGGCAGAGCTTGAGCCAGGCCTCTGTTGGGCAGGGAGGTCACTGGTTGAGTCTGCTCTGACCTCTTACTCTCCCCTTCTTCCCCAGGCTGCTGCTCCTGCTGCTCTGTGGGCAGTGCCAACTGTGCCCAGGGCTGGGTATGCAAAGGGGTATCAGAGAGGTCCGGCTGCTGTGCCTGATATCAGATGTAAATAACACAACCCTTACAAACCTAGAGGGTTTTTTAAATACAAGCATAACCCATTTACTGTGTCTGTTTTCTCAAGTGAAACATGGGAATGACAATAAACATTGTTGGCCTTATTCTGCCTCAATGGTTTTTTTGAGGGGTGTCCTGACATAAGAGACCCCAGACCCAGCAGAGCTGGGATCATCCTATATACTGAGTGCCCTAAAGCAGGTTGGGTTACCTGTCTCTGGTCAGTTTCCTAGCTAAAAATGTAAGAGCATCATGCCAGATGATTTGAGGGCACAGGAATCAGTCATGGACCCAAGCTTTGGTGAGATAAATAGAATGAGTATGAAAAATAAAAAGGCAAAATTCATTTTTCATATTCAACAAGGAAATCTCAAAGGGACATTAAGAACAGAATAACAGAAAAAAGAACTACTAACGCTGCACATCTGTTGTAAGGTGTAGTGATACTCAGTAGGAAGGAGGAAGGCCCTGGGTGTCTTGTAATTCATGGCAACTGTTAGTTATCTGGCTACTTGGTGAGGCAATTGCTGTTTGATGTTCAAAGAGGAAGAGGAGTCACGTGGTCCAAGAGTAAGCATCATGCTGCCTTAAAGTGTTTTGTGAATAAGGGATTTCAGAAGGTAGCCTGGTTGGGTGCAGTGGCTCACACCACCTCGGTGGCTCACGTCATGTTCTGTTCAAGCCAAGGCAGGAGGATTGCCTGAGGTCAGAAGTTTGAGACCAGCCTGGGTAACTTAGTGAGAACCCCTCTTCATGTAAAACAAAACATTAAAATAAAACGAGAAGAGAAGGCAGCTTGGCCAAGTACAGGTGGTTTGGTGTCACACAAGTAGGTTCACAGCCCACTTCATCCCTTACTGGCTGTGTGACCTGGGCAAGGTGCCTAACATCTCTGAGTCTGCATTTACTCATTTGCAGAAAGAAGATTCTATCTCTACTTTGGGATGAAATGTGATAATGGCCTAGCACCTGGCTAGGACTCAGGGAAGAATGCTGTTATAATCATTTGTCCACATGAACTTTGCAGACAGAGAATCCTATCAGATCTCATCAAGCTCCCTGGGAAAGGACCACCAGTTCCTTGGAAGCATGACTGTGGAGTGGAAGTTGGGAATGTGTTTGGAGTCTTGCTGGTCTGGTCTTAAGGGTATGTGGATGACTTCCTGCACCAACTCTCCAGCATAAGACACTGCTCCAGCATTTGAACAGAGAACAAGCCTTTCCCACCCTTCAAGTCACTGATATTCACACAAACCAGAGAGAGTGTGTGCAGAGGCTGGATATGTAGGGGAACACTGTCCTCTAGAGTAGTTAAGAACCTGCCCAAGGTCACACAACTCACAAGGTCATCCAACTACGGGTTGGATGAACTTATGGTACAGCTGTCCTCAAGCCCTCTCCAGAGCTGGCACATCATTGTGCAAGTGGATGCTAAGCCCTCCCCATCACAGTTCTTAGCTGGAAGTGCCCTTGGTGAGTTGGCCCAATTGTGCCCTGACTGGAAAGAGGTGTACTGATGCCCAGGAAGGTTAAGAGCTATGAAGAGGCATTGATTGCCAGCTATTACTCTTCCCTCTGCTGTCCTTGTGCCAGGTCTTCTGTGTCCTTGTGTTTTACATGACACAGGGTTCTGTTTGAGGCAATGACGTTGCATGAGTGCAAATTTCAGCTGTGTCATTTATACCTGGGTAACACAACCTCTCTGTGGTTCAGGCTCCTACCCTGTTCCGTGCATAATAACAGGGTCTGGCTGGTAGGACCACGTCAGTTAATTCATATAAAGAACTTAATACAGTGTTCAGTGTGTCTCAAGTAGTCTGTAATAGCTATGGTTTTATTATCTTTCTTCACAGCATAGGAACATTTTAGTACCTCCAGACAAATTAGCCAGTCCAGATAGGCTTAGCTGTGTGTCCCATGTTGTTCCCAACAATAACATGAGCATACGACATATGGATCCGAGAGGGAACCCTACCCATCCACAAATAGGGATCTATGCTGCATATATAAAGCTATAAGCAAGATAGTCCATGTCTGCATAACAGATGTGAAAGGATTCTTGCCATTTCTGTCAACACCTGCACTGTTACTTTCCTTTAAAGAATCCTATTTCCTTAATGTATTTACAGAAAAAGCAAACTCTCTGACACTACTGAAAATAAGAATCAGTCACCTTGCAGACATGGAAGGTAGCCACACAGTTATATATATCCCTCTGTATCACTTCTGTTGCTCTCAGGATTGATGTTGACATTTGTTTTTGTTTAAAGATTTCAAGCAGTGAAGAGGTGCTGAAGACATAGCAAGGGCAAAGGGAAGTTTCATCACTGACCTCTTTTCCTTGAAAAGCTGAGTGGTGGCTGGGCACGGTGGCTCAAGCCTGTAATCCTAGCACTTTGGGAGGCCGAGGTGGGTGGATCACCAGGTCAAGAGATCAAGACCATCCTGGCCAACATGGTGAAACCTCGTCTCTACTAAAAATACAA